GGAGTGGCGTGCACGGCGGCGGAACGGTGTTGCATTTGTGTGTGAAGTACAACCAGTTGGAGGCTCTGAAGATGTTGGTGGAAAAGGTGGGAGCTGGGAATGACAGTTTCGTTAATGCCAAGGATGATTATGGATTCACTGTCCTCCATTTGGCCGTCTCCAATAAACAGCTTCAGGTAATTAATGCACGTGATTCACGTGTCCCCTATTGTTTTTAGCACAATAATAATACACTGAATAAAATTTAGGAAAAATTGTGTCCTTCGGATAAAGGTTTCATTTTCACCTTCAATTTAAAATCTTCCACTTTTATCCTTCCTTTTCTGTCGTGAGATAATAGAATGGTTGGGTTCAAGTCCATATTAATTATGGAAGGGAGTGATCCATAATATGTAAAAGATAATAGTTATCTTCGTTGATACGAGATCTTTTTGGTGAAACTAAAAATAAAGTCGTGAGGATACGGACAATATTGTTGTTTTTAATGAATGGTATTAGAGCCATAGTTTAAAACTAGACCTATAAAGGTTCCTATGGGTGAAATTAAAAGATAAAAAAATACTAGATAACATCCGCTTAATATTAATTTATAAGAAGTAATATCTATTTTCTTCCATTTATTCTGATTTCTGATAAATGGCAAATTGCTCTCTCTCTCGTGGCAGACAGTGGAATATTTAGTCAACAGAATCGGAATCAAAGTGAATGCTTTAACCGCAAACGGTTTAACAGCTCTGGACATTCTGACTCAAAGCCACAGAGATTTAAAGGACATGGACATCGCCGCCGCCCTCACATCCGCCGGAGCCACCACCACCATATCAAAACCATCATCATCATCATCTTCTTCTTCCTCTCACAGCCACGCCAAACCCCATCTCTTAAGCCGCCTCATAGCATTCATTTTCGACAACAGAAACGACGAATCCTGGCTTATGAGGAAGCAGGAGGCCATAATGGTGGTGGCGACGCTGATCGCCACCATGGGTTTCCAGGCCGGAGTGAACCCACCCGGCGGCGTCTGGCAGGAAGACAATCCGGCAATGAACCAGACCGCCGGAACGTCAATTCTCGCCGCCAAACACCTGCAGTCGTACAACAGGTTTCTGGGGTTCAACACGGCGGGGTTCACGGCGTCGATGCTGGTGATTCTGATGCTCGTCACCGGGATGCCGTCGAAGCATATGATTTTCACGAGGATTCTTATAGTCGCCATGTGGATCGCGGTGATCTCCATGGCTTATACTTATGGATACTCCATTAAATTCTTCACTCCCGAAGCCTCCGATTCCATCATCTATAGAATCTCCATTTTCGTGTCTTTGGTGGCTACTGCTTCGCTGGGTCTCTTCTTTCTTGGCAAGATCTTCTTCATTCTTTCTCATCTCGAGGGGAAGGGCAATGCCGTCAATTCTCGTAGACCCACCGTAAATGAAATTGAAGTCCCGTAATTTAATCCACGGATCTTAGAGGTGGATCATCCAACTTTCAATTTTGAGGTAATGAGCTTTTTTGTTTTTTGTTTAATAACTGGGACTGGAGGATTCAACCTTCCAACTCAGAATAAGGTATTTGATTGATTAGCATTATTGGTAGTGAAATTGTAATAATATTACATTCCATTGCATCGTGTTTTGACTAGAACTGGCAAAACTTCTATTTGACACCTCATTATTTAAAAAAAAATGGAAATATTTCGTCTCGATCTAATCTTGTTCATAGAGATTTCTAGGAAGAAGTTTAAAGTTGCAATTTCAACAGTCTAAGCATACAAAAATTGCCTTTCAATGGCCTCGATTTCAGAGAATTACCTGTACAATCTTTATATATTATTGTAAAGGCTGTTTGCAGTGTAAATAATTTGCTGGATTCAATTGTCATCAAGGTTGACCTGAAATTCTTGAACTGAGTTTATCTCCCAGCAATGTAATTTTCCAACAATCCCATTGGAAAATAAACACAGAAGACTTCTTTGGCACAACTGCAAATCAAAACCAGAAAACAAACAAATCCATGGTCATTTGTTGGGAAAAACCAAGCCAAATTCAAAGAGCTTGATTGATTCAAAGAGCCAAATTCACCCGAACAACTCGGGTTTGATTGCAGAAAATTCAACAGCGCAAAGGCCCAAATGGAAGAGTTACCTCGAAACTTATCATCTTTTGTCACAATCCCAAATGTTTCTGCAGTTTCTCGAATCATGATGCCGCTTATTCCAGTAAAAGCAGGTATTTTACACTCGACAACTGCAACGATATTAATGGACAAAATTCAATACCTAATACGAAAGAGGGACACTGTATATACCTTGTACTCTTGTTCCAATACAATTTAAAATTACGATTACAATGTTGACTACCTTAAGACAACTCTAAGAATGTGCATATAGGTCATTGTAAAAGTCATTCTCACATGCTACCAGGGTAAAAGAAACCAACCATGCCACTTGGATATTTCAACCAGTTCTTTAATAAGTGAATTGATCATTGATAGATATGAGGAACTTAATGTTTTCTTTTATGAGTTCAACAAATGTAGGAGTAGGGGTGGGGGATCAAATGTTCAATGTTAAAGAACGTGATATGTACTTTATCCACTTAACTATGTTCAGATTCGTATTTATGTGAAAAGAAAACTTAATGTTAATAGAAGATGGATATGGCATGTACACAAATATGGAGAGGGGAAGAAATCCTTCAACCCCTAGTCTACAATGATATAGTTTTCACACCAATATTACAATTTTCACGGTGCTATTCTATTGGTCTACAAAATTTTTATTTTTCTCAGGTTGTGCTTCTTTCATTAACCTCTGTGCTGGTGGGCCTTGTTCTTCGTTCAGCTTTCTTTTTGTGTTTCATTCATATTAATGAAAGTTAGTTTATTCAATTAAGAAAGGTCTAGATGCTTATGATATCAATGTAAATAACTGATAGAAGAAAATAATAGTTTTACCTAGGATAATGGAACCGTGAAGATCTGCAGTGAGAAGATTTTGAGCCAACGCATCTTGCCTGCAAGATTCAGAACTTCAATCAGACAACCAAACAGACAACACATGATAAATAAAGACAGGCATTAATTTGTAAAACATGAGCCAAAAATAAGCGTGAAAATGTAACACAAGTGAAATTTGAGAAATAAATTACAGGATATGAACAAATTGGTAAAAAATCTAACCCAACATGGCGCAAGCGTTTTGTCATGTAGCTCTTCCACATATCATGCATTGGCAAAAAGATCTCAAACCTGCAATAAAAATACACAATAAATTCATTCTCAAACGATGACAGTGAATAAACCAAAGAAAACTCATTTTAATGGATGTTTATCAAGAACAACCTTGGAACTCCACATAAAGTACAGTGAACATGTCTTTGATCAATGACCTTTCAATTTTCTTTTCTTATGGTTAAGGCAACAACTAAATTCTAAATCTAATTCTAATTTCAGGAGAAACAGACACTTTCATCACCCTATGACTCTCTTTACCAAGAAGATAAATGGAACTCACTTATGGAAATCAGAATGCAAATCAAACGTCCCACAGTTTTTATGTTGCTTCATAGACATACGCCTTTTGGATCGCTTTGAATAGTTCCGCAAAGCCCTCATTCGAGAGCCAATCATTCCAGGACGTTTTGGAACAAAGTTATCAAGAATGATCCATGAATCAACTTTCAATTCTCTTGATCGCTTAACGTAACCCCCATTTCTTAGCTCGTGACAAATCTTGCTAACCACTCCTCTGTTACTTGAAACCTGCAAAAGGTGAGGTTCAAATTAACCAAGAAGTACATATACATTTTTTTAATAATAGGGTATCCGAGACCTTGTTACTTAACATAATCCCATGACCCAGATCACTGTTTTTCAGAAGCCTTACGTTACCAATCAATGCCAGCTCCGGATACAATAAGAGTTTATTGAGTTTCAGTGAGAACAACTTACATCCATATTTGTAGCCAGCAAATTTTCATTCACAGCAGCTGAAAGGGTGAAATATATTGGATCATTTTCTTCTACATCTGCATGTGAAAGGAAGCAATTAACCATAAACAAACTAAAAACATAATGACTTCGCCACCAACCGAAAGTATATAAATATATAGGTATAATGAAGGAACCTATATTTAGGGTTTTTTCTTTACGGGGCAAAGGAATTAAATAACCAGATGTATTTCCTGCGACAACAACTGAAGAAGAATCGGTTAAATCAGCTTTTCCTCCACTATTTGATTCCTTAGTAGAACTAATCTTCTTCTGCTGTTGAAGAAGCTCCGCTTTCGCAGCAGCGCACCTTCGCTCCAATGCCTCCAAAGCACGATTCCTTAGATCTTGAGAGGCTACATTGTCCGCCATAGAAATTTTGATGATCGATTAAGCCTTCGTGAAACAGTATACGATTACTTTACACATCAAACTTGAAACAAAAAAAAGGTATTGAAAGCAAAGAAAGGCACGCGATTCAGGACGCAACAGAAAAAAAGTGATAAAAATTGAATCTAGTTCAGTTCCACGGATATTACTTTGAGAAAGAATTGTGAAGACGGATTGAGGGTTTTGTCGATCCCTTCCACTCCTCTGCGCCAAAATAAAACTAGGTTCATTTAGAGACGGAGAGCAGAGACAAATTTCGGCGGTGAGTCTGATACAGAACAGAGACGGAGCGAGTACCGTGTGGAGAAGAAAACCTCGAGCCGGTCGGTTCGGGTTTCACGGTTCAGTGATCAGTGGTCGCCGACTCGACGGCGTGAGACGAAGAAGTGATTGTTTTTGTCGACAAGGCCTTTAGCATATGGTCAATGAGTGGATCAGGCTTAGAGTTAGTTCAAAGTAATTCACACATATCTCCCATTCAAAAGTTATAAGTTGGACTGGATTATATGTTATTTTTTTAATATATTTATACATTGAACCGATTTGACTTGATTCAAGTTTTATCATTCCTGCTATCGAAGCAAACTATTTTCTTTTTTTAAGGAGAAAATATATTTTTGGACAAATTGCATAAACCACTGTAACAATTTCACCCATAAACTTTTATTTGTAAAAATCAAACCCTTAAGCTATTATAAATGAAAAAATTAGACATCTAAACTTTTAACGGTAAAAATTAAACCCTTAAACTTACCAATTGTACCAATAAACTTTATATATTAAAAATCACACCCTCAAAATACCTTCCATTAAACCCAACAAACAAAATCTGGAAGAAGATAAAGGAAAATTAATACATTTTGTCTGGGAAATAACAAATAAGAAGCTAAAAGCAACAATTCACATTGAAATGCTTCAACGAGTGGCCAAATTGGGAAATTTTTGTTCCAACCCATATGTCTTCATCGTCTTCCCAATCGCCAGGGTGTGGGCAACCTTATTTTACTCCATTTTGATAAGGAAAATTAATTAATTACTCTTATAGTCTAATCGATTTTTGTTTGATTTCTAATGTTGATTCCGACTGGTGAGGCGTCCCGCCGATGGCAAATCATACTGCAGAGAATCTACAATCGGCAAACTTTGGAGCTGAACGGCGACGAGGGCGAGATACCGTCATGGGACCTCTGCAACCCTTAAACCTCCCACTGTAAAAATCTTCCTTTTAAGGTAGAAGAGAAGCCTCCCGATGGAGGTTGTTTAATTTGAGGGTGAATTTTAAAATAGATTCAATATTCTTTTTAATCCGAGAGTTCAATTTTTACCCATTAAAAGTTAATGAGGGATCAATTTTCTCATTTGATAAAATTTAAGGGTTTAATTTTAATTATTAAAGGTTTATAGGTATAATTTTTTCATGTTTAAAAGTCTGAGAGTTTAATTTTTATCATTAAAATTTATGGGTAAAATTGTAACAAGAAGTAACGTGGTTTTTGCAATTTATCCTATATTCTTTTTTATGAAATTTGCCATATATATCTATTTGGTCATTTTTAAATTGGGCATTTTTAAATCTGGCTTTAGAGAATAACTCCCTTTATGATCTGTAGCTTAAATTTTGAGAAATTTGACAGATTTCAAATGAATTCTCATATCTCACGATTTTTTAATCGGATTTCAAATCCTATTTTTATGTAAAAAAATTTACAGATCAAAATGGTTGGATTTTGCAATATTTTACACCATTTCAAACTAGATTACATATTTAACATTTTTCATATTTTAATTTATAATTAATAAATTTAGATTGAAAACCTAAATAAGCAAAAATTTATTTTATTTTATTTTAATTTGTATCCAACATCCAAACAAATAAATTTAATTTAATTAATTTCAAATCATCAGTCATCCCAAACAATATAAATCATTTAAAATCATTTATTAAATTTCAAATAACAAAATTTAAATTCATTTATTTAACTTTTTTGACGCCAAATAAAAGGTTTGTGGATGTGAGAGTAAGATAATCCACGGTAAAATTATAATAAAAAAACAAATGGTTTTATTTTAAAAATTAAAAGAAAGTTTGTTGATTTGATGGTATTAAATATTCATTGAATAATGATGTATGCATAGATTCCATATTTTATGGGTGATAAATCAACATTTTCATCGTATTAAAAAAATCAACAAAATATCATTTATATATATATATAATTCTAATACCGATTATTTCTAATTTATTTTGAAAATGGAAAGAGGTTTATTTGTTAATTTAAATATTTTACGATTTTTTAAATTTTTATAGAACTATTAATTCCATCCACATTTTTGGTCTGACATTTTAATCGAGATTGGTTAATTCATTTATTTTTTTCAGTTCCATTTTTATTTTTATTTTTGTTTTTATTTTTTATTTTGTTTGTTTGTTTGACAAGTAGTTCCATTAACTTTATGAAACTGAAAACTGGAATTTAGGGAAGCAATTAGAACTAATTAATAGGGTGTTAATGCGATCTGTCCAACGGTAACTTGCTGGTTGATCCGTCCCTATATCTTCTTTTCCCTCGCTCACAAGTCACAAACCCCGCCCTTTTCTTCTTCATTTGCCTCCTCAGTGTTCGTCGAAACCAATCCAAACCCTACAGAACGCGTTGAATGTTGATCCAACCCCTCACTCACAGTCTCTTCTCGAGCCTTATTCATCCACTCACATTCGCGCATTGAGTTGAATCACAGCGGCCCTTTGAGTGTTCGTTTGTTGCTACGATTGGAGTGACCAACGAAACCAAACCCGAGATCGATCATTATAAGGCACTCTGTTCTGGGTTCGAAATTCTAGGGTTCGCCCACATATTCCGATTGTTTGTTCTTTCGCTCTTGTGCCATTTTATATCTTATTTCCTCTAATCAACTCCGCGATTTTTTGCTCTACAGAGGGGAGTGCGTCTCAAACCTCGTTTGCGAACTCCCTATATGCATCATCCGACATGAAGGACTGGTGAGTTTAAATTCCATCTTACTCTGGTTTTAATTCATCTTCTAAAAACAAAACAAAATAAAAGTCATCCCTGAAAGTTCATCTTATAAAGAAAAAACCCATTTGCACATACTTGAGTATCCCAAGGGGCAGATTACGCCGAGGGGGAAACTGGGCTGCCGCAAAATGAAGAGAAAAGGGGATTTAGGGTTTTATAAATTTATTTATACATCTTGGTTCGGTTCGATCTTTTCGATTTCTTTTATCAAACCCAAACCAAAAATTTTCAGTTCCCTGAAATCGAAAACCAGTCTGTTTGGACTGGATGCGGTTCGTCGGTTTTTTTTATCTCCTCTTTTCTGAGTTAGTCATTTCTGCATTGGTTGCCCAGAAACAGTGGGAAAATAACTGCAGCAATTTTCGCGGATACCCCATTTTCTTCATCTTTGATTTTTGCGTGTCTTTATGTTTTTTCTCTGTTATGTTGCCACTCAACACTAACCTTTCTATTATTCAATTGCAGAAGAAAGGAAATCACACATGCAAACTTGAAGCTCTCGACAAGAAGAACAACAATGAAGAGTATATCAGAGAGGGAGAAGAAGAACAATCAGCAAGTAGCTAATCTGTGATTCTGTATGGTTTTCAAGTTCATTTAAGGTTGTTTTCTTTTGACTGCTCTATCTCATCTCAATGAATTGGAAACCTAACTGCATAACAGCCACATTTTCTTCATTTTGCTCAATCTGTTCACTGCCATAACCCAAACATCTAGAAGAATTTATGTCATCCATAGCTTATGGTATTGAGTTTCTGTATTGTTAGCGTTCTTTTTATCTCTTACTCTGTGTATGTTTTGAAGTTGTGGATGTTTTGAAGTTTGATCAGTTAATAATCATTCAAGGTTATGTTCATCAAATATCCAAATGCATGTTTTTAGTATTCTTTTTGAATACACGGAGGTTGTTCCTAAGAAGATATATGAATTCTTTGGATGTTTTCTCTTTTCTTCTTGATGGTTTGGATAGATATCTTAATTGTTTTATTTGTAAAATTCTCACCGTGGACTTGTTATGCATATTCATTTTGCATTTTCCTGTTGAAGCCTTGTTTGTAATTTATTATGATTTATAGAACGGGTGTGCTCCAGTGAAGAGGAGTAGCACCTGGTCAAAGGTAATTTGCTTATAATTAGATATAGATGAATGTCTTTTGAGGGAGGTAGGTATTACTTTGTTCGAGTGGAGGATTGTTTGGTTTTTGACCAAAATCCTACTTTGGGTAAGGAAGGGGTTCATGATATAAGTTAGGGATAACATCTCCATTACAATGAGACCTTTTGGGTGATACCAAAAGAAAAACCATGAGGACTTATGCCCAAAGTGGACAATATCATATAATAAGGAGATGTGGGGGTGGTTCCTTGTCCTTAACAAATGGTATCAGGGTCTTGCCCTTCACTTAGCAATATGGGTAGAATCCTCGAGTGCCTGGTTTTACTATTCTAGGATTGTTGGTTTAGCTATTTGAGGATTGTTTGGTTTGTGACCAAAGTATTACAATGGCTAGGGAAGAGTGAAGTCCATGGTATACAAGTTAGGGACAACATCTCCATTACAATGAGATCTCTTGGGTGATACCAAAAAAAACCACAAGGGTTTATGCCCAAAGTGTACAATATCATATAATGTGGAGATGTGGAGGGTGGTCCCTTGTCCATAACAAGTGGTATCAGAGTCATGCACTCACTTAGTAATGTGGGTAGAACGGGTGTTTTACAAATGACGAGCCTTTCGAAATCCGTGGTTGAGCTATCTGACAGGGATATTCTCTCGTAAATAGGGGTGGTACTTGTTTAAAGGTAATATGCTCATAATTAGACACGAATAGACAATTATTTGAGGGGAGGGGAGGCGGTACTTTGTTCGAGGGGAGAATTGTTTTGTTTTTTACTCAAGTCTTACATTGGCTAGGGAAGAGGAAAGTCCATGGTATATAAGTTAGGGACAACATCTCCATTACAATGAGACATTTTGGGTGATACCAAAAGAAAAACCACGAGGGCTTAGGCCCAAAGTGGATAACATCATATAATATCATCTAACATGGAGATGTGGAGGGTGGTTCCTTATCTCTTACAAATGGTATCAGGGCATTGCCCTTCACTTAGCAATGTGGGTAGAATTCTTGGATGCCTCTAGCGTTCGTTAGCAGAAGAGGATAGGATTTATTACAACATTTATGTAGAAATGCCTTACAAAGTGGCGAGCCTCTGGACATTCGTGGTTGAGCTATCTGACAACGATATGCTCCCGTCTATGAAGCACAGACACTCTATTTTAGGCGTAGTGTCCATGTTGGACACAGTACAAACATGTTGTGTCCGACACGCCTATTTATGTGTCCTTTTTCTTTCTTTTTTAAAATTTCGAACACGCCTTGGACACCTAGGACACATATTGAACTTGATCCTCGTTACTAGTTGCATGAACTGTCATTAGTTGCATGAAACTGCCAGATGGCAGTTTATCTCTTTTGAAAACACTTTCTAAGTTGCATGATGTTGCTAGATAAGAGGAAGGTTCATGGTACATAAGTTACCTCTTTTGAAGACACGCTCGTTACCAGAAGCAGATAGGAATCATTACACGGATGGATGACACTTTGAGGAGGGGAGAGGTGGTACTTTGTTCAAGGGGAGAGTTGTTGGATTTGTGACCAAAGTTCCACATTGGCTAGATAAGAGGAAGGTTCATGATACATAAGTTAGGAACAACATCTGCATTATAATGAAGCTTTTTGGGTGATTCCAAAAGCAAGACCACGAGGGCTTGTGCCCAAAGTTGTCAGTATCATATAATGTGGAGATGTAGAGGGTGGTCCCTTGTTCCTAACAAGTGGTATCAGAGCCATGCCCCTCACTTAGCAATGTGGGTAGAATCCTCAGGTGTTTTACAAAGTAGCGAGCCTTTTGAAATCTGTGGTTAAGCTATTTAATAGGAATATGCTCCCAAGAATAGACCGGAGATGATAAAAAGACACAAATGGACTACTCTTTGAGAGGAGGCATGATGATACTTTGTTGGATGGGAGAATTGTTTGGTTTTTTACCAAAGTCTTATATTTGCTAGGGGAGAGGAAAGTCCATGGTATATAATTTAGGGACAACATCTCCATTACAATGAGACCTTTTGGGTGATACCAAAAGAAAAATCATTAGGGTTTATGCCCAAAGTGGACAATATCATATAATATGGATATGTGAAGGGTGATTCTTTGTCCCTAATAAATGATATCAGGCCTTGCCTCTCACTTAGCAATGTGGGTACAATCCTCGGGTGCCTTACAAAGTGGCGAGCATTTAGAAATCAGTGGTTGAGCTATCCGATGACATATGAATTACAATGAGACCTTTTGGGTGATTCTAAAAGCAAAACCACGAGGGCTTATGCCCAAAGTTTACTATATCATAGAACGTGGAGATGTGGAGGGTGGTTCCTTGTCCTTAATAAGTGGTATCAGAGCCATGCCCCTCACTTAGCAATACGGGTAGAATCTTCGGGTGTTTTAAGTAGTGGCCAAGCTCTCGTAATCCGTGGTTAAGCTTACCAATAGTAATATGCTCCCAGTAATAGGAATGACACTTGGTTAAGGTAATGTGTTCATAAAAAGACACGAATGGACGACTCTTTGAGGGAGGCGCGGTGGTACTTTGTACGATGGGAGGATTGTTTGGGTTTTGACCAAAGTCCTACATTTTCTAGAGGAGAGGAAAGTCCATGATATATAAGTTAGGGACAACATCTCCATTACAATGAGACCTTTTGGGTGATACCAAAAGAAAAACCATGAGGGTTTATGTCCAAAGTGGACAATATCATATAATATGGAGACGTGGAGGGTGATTCCTTGTCCCTAACAAATGGTATTAGGCTTTGCCCCTCATATAGCAATGTAGGTACAATCCCTAGTTGCCTTGCAAAGTGGCGAGCCTTTGGAAATTTGTGGTTGAGCTATCCAATGCGATATGTTCCTGTGAAAATGAGTGGTGCATGGTTAAAGGTGATGTGCTCATAATAAGACGCAGATGAATCACGCTTTGAAGGGATGCTGAGGGGTACTTTGTTTGAGGAGAGGATCGTTGGATTTGTGACCAAAGTCCCACATTGGCTAAATAAGAAGAAGGTTCATGGTATATAAGTTAGGAACAACATTTGCATTACAATGAAGCCTTTTGGGTGATTCCAAAAGTAAAACCACTAAGGCTTATGCCCAAAGTGGACAATATCATATAATGTGGAGATGTTGAGGTTGGTATCTTGTCCTTATCAGAGTCGTGCTCGGGTGACTTACGAAGTGGTGAGTCTCTGGAAATTCGTGGTCGCACTATCTGACAGGTGGTATGCGTAAGTGTAGAGGAGTGACGCCTAGTTAAAGGTGATGTGCTCATAATAAGACATGGATGAATGAGTTTTTGAGGGGGAGGCTTCATGGTACTTTGTTTGAAGAGAGGATTGTTAGGTTTGCGACCAAAGTCTCACTTTGGCAAGGTAAGAGGAAGATCTATGCTATGCAAGTTAGGGACAACATCTCCATTACAATGAGGCCTTTTTGGTGATACCAAAAGCAAAACCACAAGGACTTAGGGTTATATTATATGCTTAGTACAACATCAAAGATACTGAGTCAAGTTCAATTGCAACTGTTTATCCGTCAATAAGGTGAAAAGATGATGTTATGAGCTTTCTCTTTTTGCAGGTTGTTGGAATTTTCAGGATGGTAATTTTTCCACTTCTTTGTCAGCTGCTGCCAAGTATGGATGAAAACCTCTACCTCAACAAGTATACATTTTCTTTTAGTATATTTCCATTTCCATGTTCTTCATCTTCCCTATATTGATACGAGCCGATGCAATTTTTCCCTAAAATTTACAGTATTTTTTATTGTTTTATTTCTTGTTATTTTAATACTGCATTTTGGTTTCACCCTCATCTAAGTGGGATTGATCTAAGGGCTTAATATGTGCTTCGTCCAACTTTGATAATGTTTTTTATGATTATATTCTCATTTTTAGTTTTCTGTTCTAAAATGTAAGTTTGTTTACAATATGGATGTTCAGGAATCAAACTTATTAAGGACAACATGAAACACTAAAGATTATGTTATGGCTGAATTTCTTAAAGTTTAAGAAGTAATGTTACTCTGCCACAAAGATCTACTTCCTTCAGTTATTATGGATAACTTCTTTTGGGCTTTTAGGTAACTCAGATCAAGTATTTTCAGAACTCGGCACCAAAAGAACCTTGTTTTTATCCCCTTTGCCAACTTGGTAAGCTCTCAACCTTCTAATTGATTAGGCATGCATGGATGTTCTATGTAATTATGTCGAGAACCATTATGTTTATGCATAGAGTACTGGTAGCACCAAGTTTTAATGTAAAATTAAGTTTAATACCTAAAGCTTGCATGGCGACCTTAGCTAAATAAGTGCTTTTGATTAGTTTTCTCCCTCCCTCCTATGTCTCTTTCTTTCCCTTTCCCTCTCCATCTCTTCCTTTCCTCTCTCCTCCGTTCTCGATCCTCTTTAACTCTCTCCCTCCCTCTTCTTTCCTCCTTCCATTCCTATTATCAGATTGTTGTGTTTCAATGTTATTTGGTTATGAGCCTTTGATGTTGTTAGAATTATCTTGTGGTTGGTTAGGATTATTATTTACCGTTTGCTTATTTATCTTCTTGTTGTTTTTCGTTGTCGTTGTGGTTATTTTTGTTTCACTGGTGGTGGTTGTTTTAAGAAATGTTTTTTTTTTCTTCCATAATATCACATTTTTCTCTATGTATATATAAGATGCTATTTAGTGATTCTTGAGGACAGTAAAAATATTGCTTAATCTATTGTTGGACATATAGTAACAAAGAATATTTAGGTTCTAGTTGATAAGTTATTCGAAAGAAGAGCTTCAATATATTAGGGGATGGACATCAGTTCTTTGCTACTCCATCTAATGTTGAGACTCAAATACCCCACGTTACTTGGTAGTACATATTTGTTGATTTCTTAGTCCAATTTCATAAACTTACCTCAAATTACCTCATAATTACTTTTTCTAGTCAATTGATATAAAAGTGTTACTTATGTGCAGATTATTATTGATTCATTCCTTGGTCAACTTTTGGCTTCCGGCTTGATTGATCAAAATAATGCGAAGGAAACCTAATTCATGCAAAGTAATTTGAAGGTAACTTGATTGATGCTTAAAGTCGTTATTCTAGCATGACATTTTTATCTTTGGCATGGACGTCTCCACCTCCGTTATTTTTTCTCTCGTCTATCTTTCTCCCTCCCTCCCTTTGTTGCCAAGGTGGCAACCTAAGTTTTGTGCATATGGATGGTAGAATAGCCATGGATGAGCCTAATAAGAATTTACATCTTTAATTCATGTCAAGAAAGTTTTGTTGTCCATCTACCAGCATTTTGTATGATATCACCTTACTAATTAAGAATTAACTTCCTTAATTCATGTCTTGAAAGTTTTTGTTGTCCATCTACCAGCATTTTGTAAGTTATCACCTTACTAATTTGGTATTAGATGGC